CTCCTCGACTTCGTACTTCCTCAGTAGTTCTGCTCCCTGATCCATGAGTGGGAACAGATTTTTCTCCAAATCTTGGAGGACAATATCTCATTCGTTTGGAGATCCTTCATGTAAGCCCTAACCCTAGCGACCTCTTCTTCGGCGGCTCTGGCTTTGAGTCCAGCGAGGTTGGCTTGAACTTCAACCTCTTCATGTTCAAACCTCAGCTCCTCGTTCATTTCCACAGCCAGAGTGTAGTTCTGAACAGCCTGCGGAGGTTAGGAAACAGTCAGCCGAAGTAAAAGAGTTGCAAAAAATTAAAAATAAAAAAAACAAAAAAAAGAGAAAAAAGAAAGCAACGCTTAAGTAAAAAATGCTTAAGTATAAGAGACTTCACCTGCATTAGCAGCCTCTGAGTCTCAGCAAAAGGGTCAAGCACCCTTACCCTGGGCTCGACTATCCCAGCAGTGGCCTTAAGAGACCAAGTTTTGGCTCTCTCCAGCTCGAGCAGCCCAGACAGGTTGCCGAAGAACGAGACAATCGAATCTCGATGCGACCAAAGGATGTTTCGGGTACTTTCGGGAACATGAAGCAGTGGAGCCGATTCGAAACCCATGTCTGCAGATTGGAAGGTTCAGAATGAGTTGTCTACAAAAGTTGAAGGCATGTCGCCCTTCACAGCCTCGACTCCCTCCTTGGTCTCAACACCCTCCAAAGATTTCAACATTGAAATCCTCAGGCTTCCAATCCAAGATATGCACCCCTCCTTCAGGATGGACTATCAAGTTATCTTAGGCATAAACTTCTTACTGGATCTCGTGCGCAAAGGGCTCGCCCAGATGTTGTGGAGATGGAGGAGGAGTCGAACCCTTAGATTGAACCTCTTGAGCCTCGACCAGCGGCTCAAAGGGTGATTCCGCTCCTCGGCTTTCTCCTCATCCTTCTCTTCAGCAAGACCGGGAGGAACGATATGCTCTTTCAACTCCTCCTCCTCCGTCTGAGAGGCTTCTTGGCAGGCGCATTAGCAGCCTGAAATTGCCCTGGTCCGATAATGGCCCTCCGCTTCGGCCTGGTTATTTCTCACTTGAGGAAAACTCTTGGACAGTTTCAGCAAGTTCGTCGTTGTTCTTTTCTTCCTCGTTTGACTGCAGACGAAGGAACAGGGGGGCAAAGAACCGTATAAGTACGAAATAAAAAAAAAACATACAACAACAACAAACAAACGAATCAAGTTTGAAAGCTCACCGAAGTCTTGAGTAGACGCTCGTCTTCGTCTTCTTCCTCTTCAACTCCTAGAGAAACTGTTTCAGTTTGCTCGGTAGCAGGAGGGGAAGTCCCAGCAGCAGCGGAAGTTCTAGCTGCAGAGGAAGCGCGAGCTACAATGGCTTACTCTTCGGCAGACAAAAGAAAATAAGGATCACCCTTCTCCCACCAAGGCTTCTACGCCTAATACTCGTCTACACTAACAATCTGGAATTTGCTAGCGTTCAAGGAGAGTGGCCGATCCTTCGATTCGGTGATCTTAGGAGTATTGGTGGCCAGACTCCTCTCCTGAGTGATCCCGAGCAACTCATAGTTAATTCTTGAGTTTTCTTCATATAGCTGTGAAAAGGCAGAACAATAGTTAGCTTTGCCGAAGAAAATAAGCATCAAAAAACAAAATAAATAAAAACGATAAAGTCCTCGGCCCCAGCCGAGCTCCTTACCGCCTCAGTACTTTTGGCTGAGGCCGACAACAAGCATCTTCTCTTGGAAAATGTAGTGGTAGCAGGGTATCCAAGTAGTGGCACGTCCTTCATTCGATCTGTGGGCCCACGCACTATGGTCTGGCCAAAAAGTGTCATTTGCTTCAAGTCCGCATCGGAGAACTCATCAAGGCCGATGCTAGGCATACTGGGGTCAGGCTTTATCAGATACCTCGGCGCACCAAAGTGGTTTGAATGGTCTTCGTCTTGGGTCGTCCTTACCCAGATCCATTGACCCCTCCAGTGTTTATCCGAGGTATCATTCGACCTAACCGAAAGGTAGCCCTTCTCATCTTCAATTTGCCACCAACCGGAGCCATGAAACCTGTTTTCCTGGGTGTTCGGGACCAGTTTATGCATGCAACGGAAACAATGAACGCTTGGTGTGAATCCGTAAAACAGGCACACCCAGAGATAAGTCATCACCCTTCAAATGCTCACGGGAGTAAGCTGACACAACGAGATGTTATACCCGTTCAGCACCGAGTTTATAAAGGAGTGAAGTGACCGGGAACCGAAGCCCGTACTGCAACTTGTGGGTATAAACCCCAATGTATCCAGGTGGAAGACGGTGAATCCTATCATCAGCAGAGGGCATTTGTTCCAAATGCCCATCTTCCTCCATAATTCCGTAGCAAACCTCACTTTGCTCGGCGAAGTAGAACTCGGCGTCGTCTTCAATCCACCATTTATAAGGCGGAGATGACATAAGGCCGACTTTTTCATTTTCATCCAGCCACTCCCTTTCCTCGGGGGTCAACGGCCTAGATGCTAAAGCCGCACTTCAGCTAGATGTACTAGCTTCTCCCGAGGCGCTGGGCAGGAAGGTAGTCAAAGGGACGACCCTAATCACAGAGCCGCTAGAAGCAGCGTCGACACTAGTTCTAGCCCTAGGGTTCTGGTCGCTGAGGGGTGGCATCATCACCAAAGGGCGGTTCCACCGCAAAGTCAATTGCGGAACCTCTTCCTCTTCTTCAATGCTCGGCTCAGCCTCCACCTTTTTCTTTCCACGGTCACCGGCCATTTTTAATAGTGGTGGTGCAATAAAACGGAAAAAAGAGGGGTACTCGAAAAATCAAGAAAACCGAAGAAAATTTTGAGAAAATTACCTTAGTCAGACGCTGAATTTGCCGGTTTATAAGTTCGGAGCAACAAATTTCAGTTTTGAGCTTCGGATTGTTGAATATGAGTGAAAAAAGAAAAAAGGTTTAGCAGCGGTGATTAGCGAGAAGAAAATTGAAATTAGCAAAATGAATGAGGAGAGAATGTGGGGCGAGTGGATAAAATACCTTCCAGAAGTGGGAATCTTGAAAGTTCGCGCCACTAACACCCCCATTAACTCCACTTCAATGCTCCAATTAACTCCAAACTGCAGTTATTGGCTCAATAACCACAATAATTTAAAAATTAATTAATCATTTGTTTTCCTCCATTTTGCAAGTCAAAACTCAACTCTTCAAATTTTCGAATCGGGTTTAGGGGGCAAGTTGTTTGGGTCCAATTTACTCAAATTGGCCAGGTCTACAAATGATTAAATTACAAAACCCAAAAGAAGGTTCAACTCTCCTAATATATGCTAAGTCAGTCAAAGTCCCGGTCAACATGGCAAGCCCATTTGACCTCAAGGCACAATTTATCTATTTGAGTAAGGTATAAAAGTCTTGACTTCTCTCTCTCTCAATTTATTCACTTCAAGCCTCAAGCAATTAATTCTCTTGCATAACTTTCTCTCTCTAGAAACACTGTACTGACTTCTGTATCGGAGGGGCCTTCCCCGGCACATCTCGAGGCCAGTTTACGTGTGTTTGTTGTGTAGGAAATCCTCGTCTCAGTCATCACTTGGGCCGAATCCAGTCTTCAATTCACAGGAAAGGTTCAAACGAAAAGACCCATTATTTATACCGAAAACACCCATTAAGGACGTAAAGTATCAGGGATTCAACAAAGACTAGCAATTTCGTGAAAGAACAAATTTAGATGCAATGAGTCCCTCTAATATCACATTAAAGATAAATATAAAGGGATAAAAGGGCAACCTCCTACAGTATTTTAAATCTTTAGGAGCTGTGATCGAGCATTCCATTATTTGCAGTTTTGCACTTTGGGAAATGCATCCTAGTTTCCTTGTTTTTTTATTATTTTTTGGACACACATCATAGCCTCCTTATTGTCTACGCTAAGATCCAAAATTTCCACATTCGGAAAGTCATGATCAACTTGCTTATCTAGCTTTAATACGAGTACCAAGTACACGGCATAGTGTATTTGTATGTTATTCTAAGTTTAAACATGTGAACATAGGTAAATAGAATATACTACTTCTATTTTTGAAAATTCGAATCACTTACTAGTTATGTAGTCAAAATAAAATAATTTTGACCATATTTTATAAGCTATACAATATAAATAGATTAGCATGTGAGATCACATTAGATTTCCCTTATTATAAATGATCCAAATATCAACTTTTTACAAATTTCACTTATGCACAACAGGAGTTATTCATAGTCAAAGATGTTCATTGGAGACCACGCAATTGCAAAGTGAGTCGAACTTTCGGAAACGGAGGGAGTACTTAAAATCAGATACTCTCTCCATTCCAGAATAACTGAACCATTACTTAAAAACTACTTCGTATTTTCCTCTACTCTTCCATGACCCATTGATTTTAGGGAAACAATTTCAGCCACATAAATAAATCAAAAAGGATCTTTTTACATTGAACAAATGTATTAAATGATCTCATTCAAAGTTTTCTTAAACTATGTACCTATTTCAACAACGACCTGATATTCTGAGAAGGAGAGAGTATTTATAATCTGAGACTTATTTTTCTTCAATTCAACGATATTTTACTTATCAAAACATATGTTTTTGATCTTTACAAATAATGTTGAGCTAAGTGTAGTATAAAGTATTAACCAACTTTTACACATTATTCAAAATGTTTACGACGTCCTGCTATTAATTAAATCCCAAAATAATAAAACGGCTATAGTAAAATTATAGTGTACTTAACTTGTGCATACTTTTCAAAATCCCCCCTCCCCCAAAAAAAAAAATAAAAAAAACCCTTATGCATACTTGATGAGCAATAGCATATTTGGCTGCCTAGTTAATTTGTGCCTTTGTGGCAGTGAAATGAAGATGATTTTGTTAGGGAGCGTTGATGATGAATGGGCTTTTCCCTATGACTATACTTTTGAGTTGGGTTATGTTTTTGCATTTCCATGATGAAATAGCACAATCCAACATCAAGCACAATAAAGCACAAAATCAAGTCAAGGCCCAACAACACACGGTCAATCGGATTTCAAGGGTCGGACCCTTAAACACGGATGACAACACAAGTCCACCATAATGTGTCATAAACCATCCTAGCCAGCCTTCCAGACGAGAGAACCCTTAAGCACGGTTGGACAACACATGGTCACCATAACGTGCCGTAAATAATCCCTAGCCAACCTTCCAGCACGATGAGGCTCAAACACGGCTGGACAACACAAGGCGCCACCATAATGTGTCGTGAACCATTCTTAGCCAGCCATCCGGCACGAGCCACAGCCTAGTTACTAATCATCCACCATCACCGAAACATCCATTGCTTTTCTCGTAACCCAATCGCGATCCATCATAAAAATAGACAAAACAACTTCATTAGTTTTCCCTTAAACACCGTGGGCAGAACTCCTAGATTTAGGCTTTTGGGCCATGCAACGGAAACTCCGGTAATTGGGCTAGCTTTAATCTTCCTCAATACTCTTCCACAGTGAAATAAATTCCCAAATTCAAAACTGCCACTCTAATTCTCCCCCCTTTATCAGAGCTATATCCTCTCATTTGTCGATCACTGGAGAAATTAATGTCGCTTGAAACGAGAAATCAGTTGCGAAATCGCTTTCTCTCTCCTCCCTACTTCTCCATCGCAAAAGCTAGGGTTTCAAGAGCTTACTATTTCCTGAAAAAAGAGGTAAAATTTGCAGCATTTCATCAGCTTAAAGTTCTAATTTATCCAGTTTTTCAGCTTAATTATCTGTATTTTTTTTCCTTAACTTTAGATTTTTGATGATGATGCGTTAATTCTGTGATGATCAATTCCTTATAACTTTGAATTTTGTGATGGTTAGAGTAATTGAGCGAAATTTTGTCAGACTAATATACCGTTATAATTTCCTAACTTATGTTGTTTGATTAATTGATTCTGTTGATGATGCTTCAACAATTTGATGCTCAATTCCTCATTATACTTAGATTTTGAAATTTGATTTAATCTGAGTTTTTGCGCCGAAAATTAGGAATATGATAAGGAGATGAGTAACTCGAAATTGCTTAAATTTTGTTGCTATTATAAACTTCTGCAAGTAAATTTTGTTTGTTATCTATTACTCCGTATTAGATAATCCTATGTTTAATTTGTCTTCGGTTTAAGAAATTTCAATAATCAGGAGTATGCAATGCTCAAAATTTTTTCCTGAAATAGTAGCTTGTTCAATTATGCAGAAAGATCTATCATAGAATTGAGAAGTTCGAAAGAGTGATCAGAACACTGCATGCTGAAACAGTGTTTCTACTACAATAATGTGTCATGTGATTATGTGTTTATGGACTTGAACTATACAGTAACATGCAGTCAAAATTTTCGCATGATTTCACATTGCATCCATGAGATTTGAGAGCAAGCGCTTCAATAGTACTCTCGTGTTGTTGCTCCTAACGTGCTTGTTTAATCAATCGTCTAAATATAGGTCTATGAACTACAACTGCTAGTTTGATTGGATTAACTGTTAGGTTCATGAAGCTTAGAAAACCGATATTCAGCTCTTTTATAAGACTTTAACTGACCTTACATAGGAAAACAGTCTCCTTATCATTCAGTGTTGGACAGGACACTAGGACTAAAGCTTTGTGCATGATGACCTCTCCAACGAAAGGATCCATAATGGTTTGGTTTTCGGTTTAATGTTGTTATTGCTGTATACTGGTTGTTTACTAAGTTTAGATAGTGATTAAATGCTCTTCGTACTACTACTATCATCTGTTTTTATGATATTAGTCAGAAGTTCAGCAGTGCACACAATTTTTCTTTTCAGTGTACTTGCCTGTGCTGTTATTGATCGTTGCTAGAAAATATCGTGCCATCCCTATTGTTCTAATTCCACCCTACACAATATCTTGTTCTTCATCAACCAAACCTTTCTACTTTATGTAATGTTACATATGAAGTATGTTTTTCTTTAATGTTATGACTACATTAAGATATTTCTTAATAATATTGAAACCAATATTCATACAAATCTTCCTTTCAGTGTTGATATGTATGGTGATCAAACAGAGTAAGATTAAGCAGAGTGATGAAGATCAATCTGCTAATCTGCTATGTGGGAGTTGTGATGGCATATGATGATGATGATGATCCTGATGTATGCACTTTTCTTGTGAATTTAATTATGAAGGGTAGAGGATGGGCCTCAAAGACAAGACTTTTCTGTTACCAATGAATTGCCTAACATTATGATCATCCGTACAACCAGTCAAACCATAATCCTGTGCAGGTACTCTTCACCGTTGTACAAAAACTATTCTTCCGTGTTCTTCTTCTAGGGTGTATGTTAGTGTTTAATGTAATACCTATGAGGCTATGACCCTTTGATTTTTGGAAGTGTAGACTAATAATCGTGTAATTTCAAGTGTCATCCATAATGTTTCTTTATCTTCCATTATGTTCTTGTTGCAGCTTATAATGAACTGGTTAGAAGTACTTTGTAAGCTGTAACAGAGGGTTTCAGGATGACATGTTATGTCCTAACACCGCAATCATTTGTATAACCAGTCAAACCATGATCCTGTGCATGAACTTCTCCAATGTCATTGATATACGAACTAACAATCGTGCCATATCAGATGTCATCCATAATGTCTAATTGCAGCTAGGGTGAACAGGTTAGGAAGTACTTTGTAACAGGGTATTAGGATGGCATGCTATGTAAATTGTACTTTTAGCTGATGAGCTTACAATCTCATATTGTCATTTCCTCGTGCTAAGTTTCATGTTTCTACATAATAGTGCTATCTGTCAATATGAAATCTAATTCAGTAACATGACTAATATTTTGGGATACATTTATAGTTCCTTCAGATCCTACATGCAGTGAACAATTCACCTTCGTACTAACTCCTATGCCTAGATAATCTGCCATCGTGATTCTGTGCAAACTTCACAGGGTTCTCCTTCCCTTGTAGGAACTTAAGTTTGGCAATACATGCCGAGTATATTACAGATCTGTCTGTCTTTAATAACCATCTTCGTATTCTGAGATCTGTAGGCACGTAGCAACCCAATCTTTCTGTGGTGTGTCACATAAATAGTTCTAGGATTTCCAGCATATCTAGAACTTTAGAATCCTGAAAATTGATGGTGTTTTTCTAACTTAAGCACCTTCTATGATAACATAAGAATAAGAAAATGAGCTGGTTTGGTCTATTCTTGTCGTTTACTTATCTCAAATTCTTCAGTCGATTCTTTATGCAATACTGCCCTTTACTTAAAAACAATTTGCAGCTATTGAATATTTCTGTGCATTTACTGTGCAGCTAAATAATTTAGTTCATTCCTAGTTTTCCGGCTAAGAGGGTGTGGGTAGTAGAGTTTTAATGTACTGTCTAATACAGTATACTATTATAACAATTACAGCTGGACTAAGCTTATCACTGCTTTTGCCCAACTGTTTCTTTGGTCTTTGTGCTCCCAAGCCAGGCATTTTGCACGTTTAGGTCAGCTTCATTTTCCCTTAATGGAATAGATTTGATTCTAGATTTGCTTTTCTGTTAGAATCTTTTCATTGTGAAATACTCTGCTTTATAAGTGTAGTACTTTCGTATATTGTATACTTCGTATTAGAATTACTATAGCATGCACTTTGCTTTTTACAGCTAAAAGCCATGATCTAACCAGTCATAGAGGACCATCAGACTATTCCGCTGGTCGAAAAGATAATGATTTAACATAGCCCTTGCAGCTGAAGAACATTATATATTTATATGACCCTTAATGATAATTTGTGATTTCGGCTCTCTTACTGATCAATTCGTTAATCACGAGACTGTAATTATCTCAGTGATACAAGTTGCATAATGTTAAAAAACTGTTTACCAAAAACAGTTATCAACTCATATGCTTTCAATGACTTGATAACGGATAGAAGTAGCGCGAAATCTGTAAAGATAAATGCTGCAAACAATCTCCCTCTTGCCATGTGTTATGCTTCTGCGCTATTTTGTCTGTTCTATCCGCATGGCTCAATTGGATTATAATTGACTTCGAAGCTCAGTCTAATCTGAATGTAACCTTCTTTGTACTTTTCCTCCATGTGCTAACAGGAATCAAAGGGACAGGGACAACTTCCGCTCCAAGTGAAGTGTGCAATACAAACAAGGAGTTCCAGGTGGCTGCGTTTTTTGCTTGCTCCCAATGTTTCAGCTTCAAGCAGACCTATATAGATCATGACTTGTGCCAGGTAATAGCCAATTATTGCAGCTTATAACATTTATAGTTTATGCTACTTTTATATCATTTTGGAGATGAATATACATTATCTTGGCCAATGTGGCATCCTACATGTAGTAACTAGAAACTGCCCTTAACTGCTATTTGAATAGGACTGAAAATAGGCCATTCCGAATTAGGGAAGCCAATAAAATGCCCAAATCCTAATCCTACTAACTTAATTACCTTGGTAATTTATTGAATGCACCGGGGATGGAGCACTTAGCATTGTGCTCCTGTTGGCACATGGAGGCCCCCGTGATGATCATGTGCCACCTCACACGTGCCATGACCATAAATGTTGCTCCTGGGAGGAAGGTACAAGTAGTAAATTACCCTCGTCCTCCCTAGTAGTGTTAGCCCAATCTATGATTATTTATGGTTGGTTTGTTAGAAGTAAGTAATGCGGTGCCTTCCCCCTCCCCACTTTTGGTTCACATTCTCATCTGTCATTGTAAACCTCACAGGAAGCAAAGCATATAAGAGCAATAATATTCCCTACCTCTAGCCTATCTACCATTCTTTGTTATGGAATCGTACTTACCAATAATAGCACTGGCTTGTAATAGAAGAGAGAGAAAGAGAGACCAAACAGCGGCAACAAACTAAGGCCTAGTTTTCAAATTGCTTCATACCAATTCATCCATGATTATAACTAACACCAGGAATTTACACCTTTTATTACTTCTCATCCCTACCACAACTAGTAGAAGGAAAATATCTAAAGAATCCAGAGTCTTAACAGTAAAATAAAACGGGCCATTATCATAGTATTAATCGATATTCATGGATACATCCCCTGTTTATTTCCCAAATGGTGAGGCAATAAGGGGGTACTAACAAAATCTAGATACAGAAAAGAATGAACAAACTGAAACCAAATCCAACTGGACACAGATATCGGAATGTGAAAGAAAAAAAAAAATTACACATCCACACACATAAAACATATAGGGGGATATGTATAAATTTCTCTTACTCAAAATCCCAAGGGAACTTGGGGCTGATGAGTTTTGGAGTGCCTGATCCCGATGATGTAGGGGATACAGGAATAAGCGGGGGTGCAGACTCGAAAGTCTCCCATTGTGTGGTTACCACAGTCCCATTCCCTGAAGTAGATTGCCTTGATGGTTGCTCTTGTTGCCGTGGTTGTAATGGCGAATGGCCTATAGAATGTCTCTGTCTTTGTGAGGAGGGAAGAGGTGGTTTTCCCAAATTTGATGTTTTCTCTTTACTATAACCATTACCGTTACCATTGACTGAGTTCCTGGCATGCCCATTTGAGTTTTCATTTGTCCTGTGAACTCCATTTGCTGCTGGTGTCGAGTTTTTCGCCTTTAGCACATCCAAAGTCTCTACATACTTCTGAACTCGCCTCACCTGTATAAATTTTAAGAAATGTAAAATCACAACTAACTTAAAAAACTAAATTTTCTACTATCTCCAGATAATTACTATATTTACTAACAAGTATCAGAAAGTTTACCTGCATCTTTCTTTGCAATTTGACATCACCGTCGGCGGTAATTCCGTCTAATTTGATCAATTCATTCATTAATAATTCAATGACATTTACAACATCCTTCTCTGCTACTCTTCCCCCTTTCAAGATCACTGATTCAAGAGCTGACACCTGCCAAAGTACCAATTACAGTAAAAATTAAAACAATTCACCAATTACCTCGATTTAGAGGTCATACAAACATTCCCTATAACACTTCCAAAACCAAACATCATTAATCCCAAAATTTTCAGCTAATTGTCGGCAATCATATCATACTCACTAATCCCTCAACTTATGTTGAAATTCAAGTAATTAAACACAACAATTAATATAATTACCTGACCACCAAGTCTGTCTACTTGCAAACTGATCTCTGAAATAGACTTGGCTGCTTTCTCCATCTTGGCATTCTTCCTCATTTCAAGGTACCTTTTTTCCTGGCTAAGTGGATCCTCCACCAATACCATTTTCGATTTATCTTTCACTCCAACAATATCCAAAAAATCCTTCGAATCTCTCTCCTTATCTTTGTAATACACTTTCATATCTTGATGATGCAAACCTGTTGGCGCTGCCAGCATTTTCTTCAATTCCCCTGCAATTTTTTAAAATTATTATTCCACAAATCAATAAATTCATCCAATTTCATAAATTAAAAATAAACAAAATTAAATAATAGAAAAATTACCAAATGAAGCTTGGGAATTAATATGGATTTCATGGTAGATTGACGCGTATTTGACCCGAACCCGAATAGTTGGTGGAGGTTTGGTATTTTGATCTTCATCTACTCTTTTCTGTACCAACATCCCACATGGCCGCATCTCCCAATTCTCCGGCCCTCCTTCTCCTTCTCCACCACCGACACCTCCGCCGACGCCGACGCCATTGACAACACCAACACCTCGGTGTCGGTCACCATGGGCTGTGTTACCATTCATAGGTGACAGCCCTGTCAACTTAGTCCTCATACGCATCATCTTCGCCTAAATTTAATATCCGCACCCTCCTCTTAAGTTCACCTTTTTATAATTTTTTGTATTTTTGCACAAAACAAAAAAACCTCACTCTAAATTTTCCTTAACTGTCACACGTGACTGAAGAAGAAGAAAGAAGTACCTTAGATCAAACCAGTTATAGAAATCCTCTCTTCCTTCTTTTCCATTGGTTCACCTTCCAAAGAAAGGAATGTGGTTTAATTTAGAAGAAGGGAAAAAACCATAAAATTAGATAGCTTCAACTTTTTCTCAAAGAATCTGTGGCTTTCTGACAAAGAAAAATAAAAACCACACCAATCTACTTCTACCAGAGAGAAAGAGAGATATATAATCAAATCTCTTCTTTATAAAAAAAATGAAAAATACTGAAATTTTAACTCTAATTTTAATTACTTGTATTTGTATCACTTTTTCTCAGATCTCCCTTTCTCTTTCTCTCTCCCTCTCTTTCTGAGAAACTAAATAAAAATTGAATGTGGGGCAAATAAGTAGCCGCCCCAGTTCTGGTCAAACCAACCCCCCTATTCTTAACAATTACCGCTACTAATGACAATAATAATCAGGTTATTAATCGGATTATTATTGCAAATATTATGAGGAGAAAAAAAATTAAAAGTAAAAGACTTCTGGAGAGAACGCGAAGAAGAGAGGGGGACACAAATACAACACCCCCAACTGGAAAGAAAGAGAAATAGAGACCTCAAAGATTTTATTATTATAGTAGATTGACAGCGAACCAACCAAGGTTTTGAACTTATGATGAGGTATGACTCGTATCATCGTATGAGGTACATAAATATTTAATAACATTATTTTCTTTTTTTAAAAAAAAAATTGTTTGTATATTTTATTTTCAGCTTCTATTTTAATTAATGGATAAATTCAAGCTTTTTTCTTAGATAAATTTGTGAATACATCTCCTCTCACAACCTTGTCATTTTCTTTTATTTTTTAAATGATAAAAGTAAAATAATAAAGTGACATAGAAATCAATGTATAAAGTTGTGAGATGAGATAAATTAAAATGTTAATCTCTGAAATAAACTGGAGCTCCCTCATTTTTAATTGTATTATATTGACTTTTGTAAAAATATAACCAAATAACCAATGTTTTCACTTAGAATGAAAATATACTACTTTGTAGTATGTTATTATGTCAATTATTTTTGGTTTTTTCTTGATGTATGTATTAATGTATATACATTTGAAAATTCAATTTTTTTTTTATCATCTTTACTTTAAAATATTTTTTAAGGTCAATATAAAAGCACGGATTGTATAAGAAAAAACAGTACATTTTGTGTGTGGCCTGTCATTCTATGTGACTGCTTATAAAAGAAGAAGAAAAAAGGTGGAAAGTACAATTATAGATAAAAATTAAAGAGAGAAAGTAAAAAAAAGTACAAAGTATATGAAAAATTCAAGGGTAATTTAGAAAGTACAATGAATAAAGTGTAAGAAAAATGAGGGTATAATGGTCTTTACTTACTATAAAAAAATAGAAATAAAAACAACATTTTAAGTCTCCAAATTAGAAAAATAAGAACTATAATATGGGACGAAGGGAGTAAAAGTACATCTTAAGATAATTTTAATGATATTTCACGTAGGTACATAGTTATACTTTCTATTGTACAAATCAAAATATGTACTTCATAGAATATGAAATGATGTTAGAAGTGCAAAAAGTGTAATATTCAATCAAACGGAAGAAGTATGTTATTACCGCAAGTAGATGACGCGTATAGGTTATTATTACTCGGGAGGTAGAATTAGGAAGGAAGATTGGAAGCCGCCAAAGCCTTAGGTGGAAGGTTTTTTTTGAAAGCCGGGTACGCGTATAGGTGGTTAAGATATTAAGATTAATGATTAAATTAATACACTCCAATATATTTTACTGTATAAGAAAGATTAATTCGGAAAGGTGAATTACTAGCCCCTAGTAAACTACGAGTACTAGGGAGAAGGGATCTTGTGTCTTTCACCAACCTAAGTCGTTGACAGTGGGATTTATTATAATAATAAGATATGATTATGATGATGAATGATGAGATGATGAGATGATAATATCGTTTCTCTAGCTGACACGTGTATATGGGAAGGGTGATTTGGGGACTTAGTGCCGTCCAATGATTGTTAAATTAATCATGAGAGCTACAGTATGGACACGTGGCTGCTAGATAGATTTGGATGCATGGTATGTTAGGTGGGGTGGATCACTGTCGATTACTCCCTCGGTAACCTTCTTTGGGTTGGAACTAAATACCGGAGTACGAAAAAAAAGCCGGGTACAGGATCTTTTAACCCAAGTAACTAAGCGCCCATCAGCCACACGTGTCGTTTTTACCAATGTAATAAAATAACCATTTCTCATGCAGACAGAAATAAAATTACAGTAGTTATCTTGTAGACTGTAGTCTGTAGAGGTTTAGGTTAAAATGTACGATTTTTGTATTAATGTTGCTCTAAACTGTAGTATCAATTGACCTTGATTGACACTTTTGTCCTGTTTTCTTTGTTTCCTGATTGGTTCAGAGCATCTTAAATCTATGCACTGTACTAATTAAATGGTACTCGTATTTTACAGCAATTTTGTTTTTAAAGGTTAGGTTGTTAAGGTACGGAAACATTAATAAGACGAGGAATACCTATAATAATTTGAACACGAATGACTTTTATAGCACGCGTTGATATTAAATTACTTTAAATGGTATTATCATGATATTTAAAAAAAATAGTAGTACTAAATACCAACGAGTGTTTTATTGGTATCGATATAGTTTCTTGTTGATATTTAGATGATACCATCTCTCTATAAGACTTTAGCCCTCCTGAAATTTGATTTATTGACCTTAAGGTAATAAGATAAATTCTTACCAATTACACCAAGTAAGCTTTGTTATTTGTATTTTAGAAATGAATACTCCGTATATATGCATGTTGTGTATTGTAATTTCTAATACTACCTCCGTTAATTTTTATGTGCAACTTTTACTATATTGGTCCGCTAAACATTATGTGCAACTTTCTATTTTCTTTCCTCTTTTAGTAAAAAAAACTAGTCAAATGTCAATTTTACCCTCATTTAAAAAATTAAAACACAATTTACTAACTATAATCAGATTTTATTAATCACTAATTCTCACCCAATTTTCACTCCAACCAACACAATCTAATTCATCAACTCTTCATCTTCAATTCAAGAAACCCAAAACCATCCTCATTCATCTTCATCTTCATCTTCCCCCATATTTTCTCTTTCCTCTTTCAAAACCATCTTCATTCATCTTCATCTTCATCTCCCCCCATATTTGCTCACTCCTCTGTCATCCTCATCTTCCCCCATTGATCTTCTTTCTCTCTCTTCAACTTCAACCGGCGGTTTCGTGGGTTTTCGTGAGGGTGGTGGTGGTTTCGTGGAGTTGGTAGTGGTGGTGGTTTCGTGGGGGTGGTACTGGTGGTGGTGAAGCCCGCGTTGAAGGCGGCGGTGGTGTTGGTGAAGGCGATGTGGGTCGTGGTTTTGGGTTCGAGTTGGGGGTTTAGTTTTTGGTGGGTTGGTTTTCGTGGGTTGTCGTTTTTGGTGGGTTGATTTTCGTGGTTCCGTTGATGGGTTTTGGTGGGTGGTCGTGGATTTGGGTTTCGTGGGTTGTCTGGAGGTGGTGGCCTGGGTTTTTGTGGATGGTACGGTGGTGATTTCGTGGGGGTGGTGGGTTTTCGTGAGGGTGGTGGTGGTTTCGTGGGGGTGGTAGTGGTGGTGGTGAAGCCAACGGTGGTGTTGGTGAAGTCGGCGGTGGTGTTGGTTGGTCTTGGTGGTGCAAATGGGTGGTTGATTAATTATCCAAACATTCTCTCTCCACCTTAATTACATACCCCTATAATACATTAATCACCATTATCAAGTTTTGCCTCGTGAACCGTAAAACCCCCCAAAGTTGCACATAAAAATTAACGGAGGGAGTATGTTTTTAGTATAAAATTATGGAGTATTGTATTACTTACTCGTAATTTTATGCGAGATTCTAGTACTCTTTATGTTCCTTAATTAAGGATTTTGGCATTTTATTTTTCAACATTTCGAAGACATGTCTTTAAACATAAACAACTCTTGTTTCTTATGCATAATTATTACAAAAATTTCACATATGATCATGATAGACATATTCCTGAGCTTCAACCATTAACTTAAATTTTTGGCTGAGTTGGTCCGCTAACATGGTATCAGAGTCGGCGTGACACAAAGGTCACGGGTTCGTATCTCATCCACCCCTCCTTTTAAAGTGGAATATTAAAACGCTGGGTATGATGGGGACCATGCTACATCCACACTTCAAGGCCAATGGGCTCTTATGTGAAAGGACGTGATAGAGTTAAAAACATATTCCTGTCTCAAATGTTCCTTTAAATAATGACACCTCACGTGCCACGCTATACCAAATAATAGCCAACTATATTTAAAACTTATAGTAACATATCAACCAAGAAAATAATACTTTAGTAACATAATAATTTTGCAGGAATCTTTTTTTATTTTCAATCAATATCAATCAAACAATAACAAGACATTTTCTGAATATTTCGATTGTAGAAATTAAAAAAGTTTTAATATTGTGTTCCTTTGCAAATTGACACATCCTGTGCATTGGCATGGATGCATATTAGTTTTAACTTTTTTTATGGAATAGGTTTTTTTTAGTGTAGTGGGGCTAATAAAGTTGTGACCCGTTTGTATATTTATGGTATGGAACAATTTTGGAGGAAAGACTTAAAAAAAAATGGAAAAAAAAAAATGGTTAAAAGGAACCTAGGGATTAGGGGGTAGTAATCTGAATTTGACTAAACTTATTAAATTGTATTAGAACTTATTTTAGTCGTAATTTGAATTATAATAGGCCAAATTAACTCATATCTGAACTTATTAATTCTCATCTAAATTATCAGAACTCACTAAAGATGCATAGAATATACTTTTTTTTTTTTTCAAA